TTGGCCTGTACATTGCAGAGTCACTTGTTTGCACAGAACTGCTAAATGCCTCAAATGATGTAGTGGAAGGTTTAGCAGTAAAGGTCGAGAACCAAAACCTAGTCATTGTGGTAGTCTACAAGCCTCCGGATGCAACATTCCAGCAATTCCCAGGAACAGCTGTTAAAAATTGACCACTGTCTGGAAAATCTTCCAGTCTGCACCCAACATCTTGCTCCTGGGGGATTTCAACTTAAGGCACCTAAAATGGAGGAATATAGCAAATAATATTGTTGCAGTAATAACACCAGGAGGCAGCTCTGATGAAAACTCACACTCACACGAGCTTTTAAATCTCTGCACAAAATTCAATTTAAACCACCAAATAATAGAGCCTACTAGACTGGAGAATACACTAGACCTCATCTTCACTAACAATGATGATCTGATAAGAAATGTCACCATATCAAAAACAATATACTCAGATCACAGCATAATTGAGGTTCAGACATGTATGCGTGGAGCCCCAGACCGACATAATGAGACTAGTCACGAGGGAGCATTCACCAAATTCAACTTCAATAACAAAAACATAAAGTGGGACCAAGTAAACCAAGTCCTAACCGATATAAGCTGGGAAGATATACTAAGCAACACAGACCCCAACTTATGCCTAGAACAGATTAACTCGGTGGCACTCGATGTATGCACAAGGCTTATTAGGAGGAGTAGATGTAAAATAGAAAGAGACAGGCGCTCCCTTTACAGGCGACGGAAAAGAATAACAGAGCGGCTAAAAGAGGTCAATATATCTGAAATGCGTAGGGAGACACTGGTCAGAGAAATAGCAAGCATCGAACTTAAGCTAAAAGAATTCTTTAGGAGTCAGGAATCGCGGGAAGAACTAAAAGCCATAAATGAAATCGAAAGAAACCCAAAGTATTTCTTCTCCTATGCCAAATCAAAATCGAGAACAACGTCCAGTATTGGGCCCCTACTTAAACAAGATGGGTCCTACACAGATGACAGCAAGGAAATGAGTGAGCTATTTAAGTCCCAATATGACTCAGTTTTTAGCAAGCCGCTAACCAGACTGAGAGTCGAAGATCAAAATGAATTTTTTATGAGAGCCATAAAATTTGATTAACACAAGCCTATCCGATGTTATCCTGACGCCAAATGACTTCGAACAGGCGATAAATGACATGCCCATGCACTCTGCCCCAGGGCCAGACTCATGGAACTCTGTGTTCATCAAGAACTGCAAGAAGCCCCTATCACGAGCCTTTTCCATCCTATGGAGAGGGAGCATGGACACGGGGGTCGTCCCACAGTTACTAAAAACAACAGACATAGCCCCACTCCACAAAGGGGGCAGTAAAGCAACAGCAAAGAACTACAGACCAATAGCACTAACATCCCATATCATAAAAATCTTTGAAAGGGTCCTAAGAAGTAAGATCACCACCCATCTAGAAACCCATCAGTTACACAACCCAGGGCAACATGGGTTTAGAACAGGTCTCTCCTGTCTGTCTCAACTACTGGATCACTACGACAAGGTCCTAAATGAACTAGAAGACAAAAAGAATGCAGATGTAATATATACAGACTTTGCAAAAGCCTTCGACAAGTGTGACCATGGCGTAATAGCGCACAAAATGCGTGCTAAAGGAATAACAGGAAAAGTCGGTCGATGGATCTATAATTTCCTCACTAACAGAACACAGAGAGTAGTCGTCAACAGAGTAAAGTCCGAGGCAGCTACGGTGAAAAGCTCTGTTCCACAAGGCACAGTACTCGCTCCCATCTTGTTCCTCATCCTCATATCCGACATAGACAAGGATGTCAGCCACAGCACCGTGTGTTCCTTTGCAGATGACACCCCGAATCTGCATGACAGTGTTTTCCGTTGCAGACACTCCCAAGGCTCAGGCGGAATCAACCAAATCTTCAGTGGGCTGAAGAAACAATATGAATTTCAACGATGAGAAAATTTCAATTCCCTCAGATATGGTAAAACATGAGGAAATTTAAATCTTCTTCAGAGTACAAAACAAATTCTGGCCAAAAAATAGAGCGAAACCCCAAACGTAAAAGGGACCTGGGAGTGATCATGTCGGAGAATCTCACCTTCAAGGACCATAACATTGTATCAATCGCATCTGCTAGAAAAAGACAGGATGGATAATGAGAACCTTCAAAACTAGGGAGGCCAAAGCCAGGGAGGGACACTCTTCAGGTCACTTGTTCTATCTAGGCTGGAATATTGCTGCACACTAACAGCACCTTTCAAGGCAGGTGAATTGCTAAACCTAGAAAATGTACAGGAACCTTCACGGCGCGCATAATGGAGTTTAAAACACCTCAATTAGGGAGCGCTTGAGGTTCCTAAAACTGTTTTCCCCTGGAATGCAGGGCGGGAGAGATACATGATTATATACACCTGGAAAATCCTAGAGGGACTAGTACGAACTTGCACACGAAAACACTCACTACGAAAGAAAAAGACTGGCAGACGATGCAACATCCCCCCAATGAAAAGCAGGGGTGTCACTAGCACGTTAAGAGACCATACAATAAGTGTCAGGGGCCCGAGACTGTTCAACTGCCTCCCAGCATACATAAGGGGGATTACCAACAGACCCCTGGCAGTCTTCAAGCTGGCACTGGACAAGCACCTAAAGTCGGTTCCTGACCAGCCGGGCTGTGGCTCGTACGTTGGTTTGCGTGCAGCCAGCAGCAACAGCCTGGTTGATCAGGCTGTGATCCACCAGGCCTGGTCACAGACCGGGCCGCGGGGGCGTTGACCCCCGGAACTCTCTCCAGGTAAACTCCAGCTACCAGCTGCACCAGTGTATGATAATAGCAACACTATTAGCTGCACCAGTGTATGATAACAGCAACACTACCAGCTGCACCAGTGTATGATAACAGCAGCACTACCAGCTGCACCACTGTATGATAACAGCAGCACTACCAGCTGCACCAGTGTATGATAACAGCAGCACTACCAGCTGCACAGTGTTTTGATAAAAGCAACACTTACCAGCTGCACCCAGTGTATATATACATCAGCATCCCAGCTGCACCCCTGTTATGAAACAGCAGCACTTTCCAGCTGCACCCGTGTATGTAACAAACAGCACTACCAGCTGCACCAGTGTATGATAACATCAGCACTCCCAGCTGCACCACTGTATGATAACAGCAGCACTACCAGCTGCACCAGTGTATGATAACAGCGCCTACCAGTGCACCAGTGCATGATAACAGCAGCACTACCAGCTGCACCAGTGTATGATAGCAGCACTACCAGCTGCACCAGTGTATGATAACAGCAGCACTACCAGCTGCACCAGTGTATGATAACAGCAGCACTACCGCTGCACCAGTGTTGATGACAGCACAGCTACCAGGGTGCACCAGTGTATGATAACAGCAGCACTGCCAGCTTTCACCAGTGTATGATAGCAGCACTACCAGCTGCCCAATGTATGATAACAGCAGCACTACCAGCTGCACCAGTGTATGATAACAGCAGCACTGCCAGCTGCACCAGAGTATGATAGCAGCACTACCAGCTGCACCAGTGTATGATAGCAGCACTACCAGCTGCACCAGTGTATGATACAGCAGCCCCTGCCAGCTGCACCAAATGGATGGTGAACAGAAACCTCAACGTAAATTTAAATTTTTGAAGAGATTAGATTTTTGCCACCGAAGTGGCTAGTTTATTGTGCACCCCATACCCCTTTTTGGGGGGGTGCCCCAAAAGTGGTAACAAAAGGGCCAAAATGGCCCCCAGGGTAACAGGAAAATTTGGCTTAACAAATTTATTTAAATTTTTTTTTGGAAATTTTCAGTTTTAACGGATTTTTTTTTTTAATACCCCAAAAAAAATTTTAAAAAACTTTTTAAAAAGTTTTTCCCCCCCCCCCCAAAAAAACCCAAAACCCCAACCCAAAAAAAAAAAAAACCCCCCCCCCCCAAAAAAAAAAGGACCCCCCCGGTTTTTAAAAAGCCCCTTTTTTCCCCCAAAACCCCCCACCCACCCCCAAAAAAACCCAAAATTAAAAGGCCCCCCAAAGAAAAAAAAACCCCCCCCCCTTTTTTTTCCCCCCCCCTTTTTAAATTTTTAAAAGTTGAAAACCCTTAATTTTAAAAAATTTTTAAGGGAAAAAAGGGGCCCCCCCCAAAAAACCCCCCCCCAAAACCCCCCAAATTTTCCCCCCCCTTTTTTTCCCCAAAAAGGGCCCCCCCCCGGGGGGCCCCCCCGGAAAAAAAAAAAAAATTTTTTTAAATTTTTTTGGGTTTTTTTTAAATTTAAAATAAAAAAAAAAATTTTTAAAAAATTTTTTCCCCCAAAAATTTAAAAAAGGAATCCCCCCAAAAAAAAAGGGGGGGTTTTTTGGGGTTTTTTAAAAAAATTTTTTCCCCCCCTTTTAAAACCCTTTTAAAACCCCCAAAAAAAAACTGCCCTTTTTTCCCCCCCTTTTTCCGGTTAACCCCAAAAAAGGGCCCTTTTTGGGGGGCCCCCCCCCCCCCCCCAAAAAAAAGGGACCCCCCCCTTTTTTTTAAAAAAACCCAAAAAAAATTTTTTGGGGGGGAAAAAAAAACCCCCCCCCCCTTTTTTTTCCCCCCCGGGCCCAAAATTTGAAAAAAACCAAAAAAAACCCCAAAGGGCCCAAAAAAGGAAAAAAAACCCCCCGGGGGGGCCCTTTTTTCCCAAAATTTTTGGGAAATTTTTTTTTTGGTTTTTTTTTTAAAAAAAGGGTTTTTTTTTCCCCGGGGTTTGGTTTTAAAAATTTTTTAAATTTCCTTTTCCTTTTTTTTTTTTTGGGTTTAAAATTTTTCCCCCGGCAATTGGTTTTGCCCAAACCCCCGGCCCAAAAACCCCCATTTTCACATTTTTTTTTTTTTCCAAAAAGGGTTTTTTTGGGGGGTTTTTTTTAAAACCCCCCCCCCAAAAAAAAAAACCCCCCCCCCCAAAAAAGGAAAAAATTTAAGGAAAAATTTTTAAAAAAAACCCTTTCCCCCTTTTTTTTTCCCTTTAAAAAAAAAAAACCGGGGGAAAAAGGGTTTTAAGGTTTTTTTTAAAAATTTTTTTAAAGGGGCCCCCAAAAAATTTTGGGGTTTTTGGGGAAACCCCTTTTTTAAAAAATTTAAAGGGGAACCGGGGGAAAAAAATTTTGGGGGATTGCCCCCCCAAAAAGGGTTTTTTTTTTATTGCCCCAAAAAAATTTTTTTAAAAGGGGGCCCCCCCAAAATTAAACCCCAAAATTTTTTTTTAAAAATTTTATTTTTTTTAAATTCTTAAAAAAATTTTTTTTTTTTTTAAAAAGGGAAAAAGGAAAGGGTTTTAAAATTAATTTGGGGGGTTTTTTGGGAAAAAAAAACCCCCCCGGGGTTTTTTTTTGGGGGGGACGGCCCCCCCAAAAAAATTTTTTTAAAAAATTTTTAAATTTTGGCTGGGAATTTTTTTTAAAACCCCGGGGCCTTTCTTTTAAATTTTTTTTTTTAATTTTTTTTTTAAAAAAAAAGGGAAAGGGGTTGGGGGGGGGGGGGGGGGGGGGGAAAGGGGGGGGGGGGGGTTTTTAAAAAAAAAATTTTTTTTTTGGGGTTTCCTTTTTCCCCGGGGGGGGTTTTTTTGGGGGTTTTTTTTTAAAAAATTTCCCCAAAAAAAAAAAAATTTTTTTTTTTTTTTAAAAAAAAAAAGGGGGGGAAAAAATTTTTTTTTTTTTTTTAAAAAACCAATTTAAAAAAAATTTTTTTTTTTTTTTTTTTTTTTTTTAAAAAAAACGTTTTTTTTTTTTTAAAAAAAAAGGGGGGGGGTTTTTTTTTTTTTTTTTTAAAATTTTTGGGGGCCCCCTTTTCCCAAAAAAAAGGGGTTTTTATTTTTTTTTTTTTAAAATTTTAAAAAAATTTTTAAAGGGGGAGCCAAAAAGGGGGGGGGGGAAAAAAAAAAAATTTTTTTTTTTTCCCCCGGGGGGTTTTCCTTTTTCAAAAAATTTTTTAAATTTTAAAAAAGGGAAAATTTTTTTCCCCCCCGGGGGAAATTTTTTTTTTCCCCCCCAAAAAAAAAATTTTTTTTTAAAAAATTTTTTTTTTTTTAAAAATTTTAAAAAAAATTTTTTTTTTAAAAAAAATAAAAAAAAAAAAGGGAATTTTTTTTTTTTTAAAAAAAAATTTTTTTGCCAAAGAGGAATTTTTTTTTGGGGGCCCCCCTTTTTTAAATTTTAATTTTTTTTTTTAAAAAAGGCCCCTTTTTTATTTTTTTTTAAAAAAAAAAAAGGGAAAATTTTTTTTTTTTTTAAAAAAAATGAAAAAAAAAAAAGTTTTTTTTAAAATTTTTTAAAAAAAAAAATTTTTTTTTATTTTTTAAAAAATTTTTTTTGGGGAAAATTTGGGATTTTTTTTTTTCCCCAAATTTTTTTTTTTTTTCCCCAAAAAAAAAATTAAAAATTTTTTTTTTTAAACCCTTTTTTAAAAAAAAAAAATTTTTTTAAACCCCTTTCGGGAAAAAAAAAAAGGGGGGGAAAAAAAATTTTTTTTTTTTTGGGGGGGGGGGGGGGGGCCCCCCTTTTTTGGGGGGTTTTTAAAAAAAATTTTTTAAAATTTTTAAAAAAAAGGGTTTTTTAAAACGGGGGGGTTTTTTAAAAAAAAAAAAAAAATTTTTTAAAAAATTTTTTTTTTTTAAATTTTAAAAAAACCCCCCCCCCAAAAAAACCCCCCTTTTTTTTTTTTCCCCTTTTGGGAAATAAAAAAAATTTTTTTCCCTAATTTTTAAAAAAAAGGAAAACCCCGGGGGGGTTAAATTTACCCCCAAAAATTTTTTTTTTTAAAAAGCCCAAAAAAAAAAAAAAAAATTTTAAAAAAAAAAAAATTTTTTTGGGGGGTTTTTTATTTAAAAAAATTTTAAAAAAAAAAAAAAAAAAAAATTAAAAAAAAAAAAAATTTTTTTTAAACCCTTTTAAAAAAAAAATTTTTTTTTTGGGGGGGGTTTTTTTTTCCCCCCTTTTTTTTTCCCTTTTTTTTTTTTGGGGTTTTTTTTTTTGGGTTTTTTTTTTTTTTTTTTTTAAAAAAAAACCCCCCCCCCCAAACCCTTTTTTTAAAATTCCCCTTTTCCTTGGGGGGGAAAACCCCAAAAATTTTTTTTTTTTTTTCCCCCCCGGAAAAAAAAAAAAAAAAATTTTTTTTTTTTTTTTTTTAAAATTTTTTTTGGGGGGGGGGGGGGAAAAAAAGATGTTAAAAATTTGGGGTTAAAAAAAAAAAAGGTTTTTTTTTAAATTTTTTTAAAATTTTTTTAAAAAAAAAAACCCAAAAAAAAATTTTTTTTAAAAAATTTTTTTAAAATTAAAAAAAATTTTCCCGGGGGCCCGGGAAACTTTAAAAATTTTAAAAAAAATTTTTTTTAAAACCCCCCCCCTTTTAAAGGAATTTTTTTTCCCTTTTTAAAAAAATTTTTTTTCCCGGGGGGAAAAAAAAAATTTTTTAAACCCCAAAAAAAATTTTAAAAAAAATTTAAAAAATTTTTTTCTTTTTTTTTTTTTCCCCGTTTTTTTTTCCCTTTTAAAAAAAAAAAATTTTTTTTGGGGGGGTTTTTTTTAAAAATTTTTTTTTTGGGGGGTTTTTTTCCTTTTTTTTTGGGGAAAAAAAGGGGGGGGGGGAAAAAAAAAAAAAATAATAAAATTTTTTTTTTAAAAAAAAAAAAGGGGGGGGTTTTTTTTGGGGTTGGTTTTTTTTTTTTTTTAAAAAAAATTTTTTGGGTTTTTTTAAAACCCCTTTTTTTTAAAAAAACCCAAAAATTTCTTTTTCCCCCCAAAAAACCCCCCTTTTTCCCCAAAAAATTTTTTTTGGTTTTTTTTTTTTTCCCCTTTAAAAATTTTTTTTTTTTTTTTAAAAATTTTTTTTTTAAAAATTTTTAAAACCCAAAGGGGAAAAAAATTTTTTGGGGCCCAAAATTTTTTTTTTTAAATTTTTGGGCCCCCCCCCAAAAATTTTAAAAAAAAAAATTTTTTTAAAAAAAAATTTTTTTTTAAAAAATTTTAAAAAAAAAATTTTTTAAAAAAAAAAAGGGGGGGGTTTTCCCTTTTAAAAAAAAAAATTTTTTTTTTTAAAAAAACAAAAAACCCCTTTTTTTAATTTTTTTTTTTTTAAAAAAAAATTCCAATTTTTTTTGGGCCCTTTTTTTTTTTTTTTTGGGGGGGGGTTTTTTTTAAAAAAAAAATTTAAAAAAATTTTTCCTTTTTTTTTTGTTTTTTTTTTTTTAAAAAAAAGGGCCCGGGGCGGGAAAAAAAGGGGGAAAGGGGGGGTTTTTTTTTTTAAAAGTTTTGGGGGGAAAAAAAAAAAAAAATTCCCCCCCCCCCCGGGGGAATTTTTAAACCCAAAACCCCCCCCCTTTAAATTTTTTTTTTTAAAAAATTTTTTAAAAAAAAAAATTTTTTTTTTTTTTTTTAAAAAATTTTAATTTTTAAAAATTTTTTTTTTTTTTTAAAAAAACCTTTATAATTTTTTTTTTTAAAAATTTTTTGGGGGGTTTTTTAAAAAAAAAATTTTTTTTTAAAAAAATTTTTTTTTAAAAAAATTTTTTCCAACTTTAAATTTTCCCCCCCAAAAAATTTAAAAAATTTTAAAAAAAACCAAAAAAAAAAAAAATTTTTTTTTTTTTGGGGCTTTTCCAAAAAAAAATTTTTTTGGGGGGGAAAAATTTTTTAATTTTTTTTTTTAAAAAAAAGGGGGGTTTCCGGGTTTTTTTAAAAATTGGGGGAAAAACCCCCCCCAAAAAAAACCCCCCCCCCCCGGGGGGGGGAAAAAACCCCCCTTTTTTTTTTTTTTCCCAAGGTTTCCCGGTTTAAAAAAAAAAAACCCTTATTTAATTAACCCAAAAAAATTTTTTTTTTTCCAAAAATTTTCCCAAAAAAAAAAAAAAAAATTTTTTAAAAAAACCAATAAAAAAAAAATTTTTTAAAAAAAAAAAAAATTTTTTTTTTTTTGGGGCCCCCCTTTTTTTTAAACCCCTTTTTTTAAAAAAAAAAAATTTTTTTTTAAAAAAAAAATTTTTTTTTTTTGGTAAAAAAAAAACCCCAAAATGGGGGAAAAAAAAAAAAAGGGAAATTTAAAAACCCCCAAAAGGGCCCCTTTTTTTCCCCCCCCCCTTTGGGGTTTTTAAAAATTTTTGGGCCCCCCCTTTTTTTTTTTCCCCCCCTTTTCCCTTTTTAAAAAAAACCCTTTTTTAAATTTTTTTTAAAAAAATTTAAAATTTTTTTAAAAAAAAAAAAAACCCCCCCCAAAAAAAAAAAAAATTTTTTCCCCCCCTTTTTTTTTCCCCCCTTTTAAAGGGCCCCAGGGTTTTTTTTCCCTTTTAAATTTTTTTTTTTAAAAAATTAAAAAAAATTTTAAAAAAAAAAATTTTAAAAAGGAAAAAAAAAACCCCCCAAAAACCTTTTAAAAACCCGGGGCCCTTTTTTTAAACCCCAAAATTTTTCCTTTTCCCCAAAAAGGTTTTTCCAATTTTTTTTTAAACCCAAAAAAAAATTTTTTTTAAAATTTTTCCTTAAAAAATTTTTCCCAAAAAAAAAAAAAAAAAAAAAATTAAAAAAAATTAAATTTTTAAAAAAAAAAATTTTTAAAAAAATTTTTTTTTTTTTTTCTTTTTTTTTTTTTTTAAAACCCCCCAAAAAAGGGGGGGGCCCCCCGGGCCCCCCGTTTTGGGGGGGCAAAAAAAGGGGGAAAAAAAGGGGCCAAAAACCCAAAAAATTTTTTTTTTTTAAAAAAAAAAAAAAGGGTTTTTTAAAAAAAAAATTTTTTTTGGGGGGGGTTTTTAAAATTTTTTAAATTTTTTGTTTTTTTAAAATTTTTTTTGGGGTTTTAAAAAAAAAAAAAATTTTTTTGGGGGAAAAAAAAAAAACCAAAAAAAACCCCTTTTTTTAATTTTTTTAAAAAAGAAAAAACCCAAAAATTTAACTTTAAACAAAAATTTTTCCCCCCAAAAAAAAAAAAACCCAAAAAGGGGGTTTCCCAAAAAAAAAAAAGGGCAAAAGGGGGGGGAAAAAAAAACCCCCCGGGAAAAAATTTTTTTTGGGGGGGGGGGGGGGGGGAAAAACCCTAAACCCCTTTTTTTTTGGGGGGGGGGGG